GTGGGCTACAGTTCCAGTTTTCTCTACAAGTTGGTGATGTAGCGTACAAAGGCTGGACCAACACAGGAAATGATGTAAGGGGTTGACAGGAAGTGATGTCAGGTATAAAAAGGAAGTTGGTGAAATGAGAGTTGGGAGGAGGTAGAACGAAGACATTGCTGGAACTGGTAGCAGAGAAGGTAATAAGATATTATTTTATAGTAATCCCCCCCCCCCCCCGTCTTGTCCATCCTCTTCCTCCATAGTCACCGTGACTGGGTACAAGAGGGATGAGAATATTCCGAGTAATCTAAACTCTGTAGACACGAAGAAGGGAGTGAATCTGGTGTCACAATTGATGGTGAAGAGGATACATACAATTATAAAAAAAAAAAGATCAAATTTAGAAAGAAGTTTGATACATGCGGCACGCAATGTTACCGCAAGTCGGGATGCAGTGCGGGCGTGCGCGGAAAGAGCGTAACATAGTGAGGGATTCAAGGATGGTAGACGTTGTCTTCATTGCTCATCCACAGCTTGGGAGGTCCAAAATTGGAGGTTCCTGTGTTTTCTCTGCACCAGGAGGAATTTCAGGCTTTAGATGTCCCGAAATATTCTCAAAGTGTCACCATTCCCCTACCTGGGTCCAAGTTGGGCAGCTGGACTGGTGCTCTCCACATAGCTTCAACCTGTGCATGTGCCCAGACTTCAAAATATTCAACAGGAGAACTAAACTCCCTAAATTTCTCCATTAAAAGTCCCAAGCTTCAAGAACGTAAAATAGAGAGGGGTTCTAGGATGGCAGACGTCTTCATTGCTCATCCACAGCTTGGGAGGTACAAAATTGGAGGTTCCTGTGTTTTCTCTGCACCAGGAGGAATTTCAGGCTTTAGATGTCTCGAAATATTCTCAAAATGTCACCATTCCCCTACCTGGGTCCAAGTTGGGCATCTGGACTGGTGCTCTCCACATAGCTTCAACCTGTCCATGTGCCCAGACTTCCAAATATTCAACAGGGGAACTAAACGCTCTAAATTTCCCCATTAAAAGTCCCATAAAGTATCCCAGATTGCTAAAATTCCTCGAATTTGCCTACCATGTTAACTCTAGCAGGCTATGCCACCGTTGTGCCCACCAAAGATGGAGCCATCCTGGCTCAGTTTCAGCACTCCCCTTCCTCGTTGTTAGGAACCTCTTACTGCCAGTGTCCCCACCAAATCCTAGCCATGTTTGGGAAGACTAGTTGCCATAGTGTTGGTGATGCAAGACACGCCAACCATTACCGGCAATTAGAGGTTCCTAACAACAAGGAAGGGGAGTGTTGAAACTGAGCCAAGATGGCTCCATCTTTGGTGGGCACAACGGTGGCATAGCCTGCTAGAATTAACATGGTAGGCAAACCATTCTCCATGGAATAGATAGAGAGGAACTAGCGAGAGCTTCTGCCAGGAAGTGAGAGGAAGGACTGATGTGACCCCAGCACAGCATACATCAAATCCTGGCACTTGACGGAAGCCAAGAATTTAGCAGTGACTGAGCATGTGCCGCTGGCCTACCTGAAGCAATACAATATGTTCCCCTGAATTGCTCATTTCTGATGGTCCTTACGTAGGTTGGGTTTGTGAACGGGAAAGTTGGCGAGTTTAGTTCTGCTTTAATGGCAGTACATCCAGACCCACCGAACTTGATCCACCAGGAATTGGCTCACCTGATATATATTCGGGACTTCAATGTAACTCTGGCATAAACCCGCTGTACCACTCACAGTGGTATATGTCATTGAAGTGCAAAGCTTTGAGGTCCCACCATCCAGAAGACTTTTCTTGGACAGTGTGGTACAGTCAACCCACACCAGATAAAACACAAAGTAGAAAAGCAGACATGGCGTTGGGATGGGCAACCTGTGAATTAACATATATGGCTTTCAGGTGGGATTTTCATTGTGTGAGACCCTCTCGTAGGTTGGATAAGGACTTCCCGTTGGCACTCTGTTAGACCCCTTCACACTTGCATGATTTGTCATGTGACTTTGGACATCAAAGTTGCGCGACAAGTCGTACCCCATGTTTTCCAATGATAACCATTCATATACAGTTGCAAGAAAAAATATGTGAACCCCTTGGGATTACGTGGAGTTTTGCATGAATTGGGCATAAAATGTGCTCTGAACGTCATCTAAGTCACAACAATAGAAGAACACAGTCTGCTGAACATAATACTACACAACGTTAGATGTTGCCGTGGTTTAATTGCACATAACATGTAAACATTCACAGTGCATGGAGGAAAAAGTATGTGAACCTTTGGACTTAATAACTGGTTGACCCTCCTTTGGCAGCAATAACCTCAACAAACGTTTCCTGTAGTTGCAGATCAGACCTGCACAACGATCTGGAGTCATTTTTGGACCACTCCTCTTCACAAAACTGTTTCAGTGTAGCAATATTCTTGGGATGTCTGGTGTGAATCGCTCTCTTAAGGTCATGCCACAGCATTTCAATCGGGTTGAGGTCAGGACTCTGACTGGGCCACTCCAGAAGGCGTATTCTGTGCTGTTGCAGCCATTGTTTTGTTGAATTACTTGTATGCTTTGGGTCATTGTCCTGTTGCATCACCCTTCCTCTGCGGAGCTTCAGTTGGTGGACAGATGGTCGTACATTTTCCTGCAAAATGTCTTGATAAACTCTGGAATTCATTTTCCCATCAATGACAACAATCCGTCCAGGCCCTGAGGCAGCAAAGCAGCCCCAAACCATGATGCTCCCTCCGCCATGTTTCACAGTGGGGATGAGGTTTTGATGTTGGTGTGCTGTGCCTTTTTTCTCCACACATAGTGTTGTGTGTTCTTCCCAAACAACTCAATCTTGGTTTCATCTGTCCACAGCATATTTTGCCAGTAGTGCTGTGGAACATCCAGGTGCTCTTTTGCAAACTTCAAACGTGCTGCAATATTCTTTTTGGACAGCAATGGCTTCCTCCGTGGTGCCCTCCCATGTACTCCATTCTTGTTTAATGTTTTCCTTATTGTAGATGTGTCAACAAAAATGTTAGCATGTGCCAGAGATTTCTGTAGGTCTTTAGCTGACACTCTGGGATTCTTCTTTACCTCATGCAGCATTCTGCGCTGTGCTCTTGCAGTCATTTTTACAGGACGACCACGCCTAGGGAGAGTAGCAACAGTGCTAAACTTTCTCCATTTGTAGACAGTCTGTCTTACCGTGGACACATGAACATCAAGTCTTTTGGAGATACTTTTGTAACCCTTTCCAGCTTCATGCAAGTCAACAATTCTTGATCGTAGGTCTTCTGAGAGCTCTTTTCTGCGAGGCATGGTTCACAGCAGACAGTGCTTCTTGAAACCAGTAAACCCAAAACAGGTGTGTGTTTTTTTAAGGGCAGGACAGCTGTCAGCAACACATCCAATATCATCACACTGATTGGAGTCAAGGTTGGCTCACTCCTGGCTCCAATTAGCTCTGGGAGAAGTCATTAAGCTAGGGCCTCACATACTTTTTCCTCCCTGCACTGTGAATGTTTACATGTTATGTGCAATTAGACCATGGCAACATCCAATGTTTGTGTAGTATTATGTTCAGCAGACTGTGTTCTTCTATTGTTGTGACTTAGATGACATTCAGAGCACATTTTATGCCCAACATGCAAAACTCCACGTAATCCCAAGGGGTTCACATACTTTTTCTTGCAACTGTATGTGCGACTTAAAGTTGAAGGCTTCAAAGTAGTTCATGCACTGCTTTGGTATAGCTTTCATGGAACTTGAGGGCCGTAGACTTCAATGTTAACCCTCAAGAGTTACTTGAAAGTCCTATCTGAATGTTTGGGGGTGACTTTGCAGAGGGACAACAAGTCACATCCAAGTCGCACCCATTCAAAGTTGCGCCAAAGTTGCACACCAAAGTCACGCAACTCTGGAGTCGTACAAGTGCGAATGGAGCCTTGATGTTGAGATGTCTCCAATTTTAGTGACATCTCTAGATGGCTGCAACTATTTTTTATGAAGACCATTTTCCAGGCTTCAGGAATATGGCTTCTGGAGGAGGGTTGTATGACGAGTTCCTGTGATCATGACCGGAAGCCGGCGATAGCAGCATGATTGTGTAAGAGGATGGCGATATTATTCTTTCCGACAAAGTCCAGATAATTATCGGTTCATTATCCCTCTACAGAGAGGAGTGCCATCTACAGATCACATGACCACATCAAAGACGATGGACAAGGACCGGGATCACATGATCAAGAGATTATTAAACCTCACTCTGGAGATTATCTGTGTGCTGATTGGAGAGGTGAGGAGGATTCTGGGAGGTCACATGACATCACTCTCATCTCTATTAATAAAACACAGAGCTGACCGGAGAGGTGAGGAGGATTCTGGGAGGTCACATGACATCACTTATCTCTATTAATAAAACACAGACCTGACCGGAGAGGTGAGGAGGATTCTGTGAGGTCACATGACATCACTCTCATCTCTATTAATAAAACACAGACCTGACCGGAGAGGTGAGGAGGATTCTGGGAGGTCACATGACATCACTCTCATCTCTATTAATAAAACACAGACCTGACCTGAGAGGTGAGGAGGATTCTGGGAGGTCACATGACATCACTCATCTCTATTAATAAAACACAGACCTGACCGTAGAGGTGAGAGGGATTCTGGGAGGGTCATACAACATCATTGTTAGTCTTTTAATACAGACTTTTTCCCCTATGTAGTCTGGAGACCAATTGGTTCCTCCGCCTTTTGACCTGCCACCTGAGAAAAAACAGAAGAAGATTCTAGAAGTCACCAACAAGATCTTTGGGCTACTGATGGGAGAGGTGAGCGGTGCCGGGAATTCTGGGACATTCTCCAGTAACAGACAATGAATGTGTCTGGATGGTGACTGTATCATTGTGTGTGTCAGGTTCCTATAAGGTGTCAGGATGTCACTGTCTATTTCTCCATGGAGGAGTGGGAGTATTTAGAAGGACACAAGGACCTCTACAAGGACGTCATGATGGACAATCAGCCGCCCCTCACATCACCGGGTAAGAGGAGACTTTATTGTAAAGGAGAGAGCAGTACGGAGGGTCCACCTAGATCCCCCATCATCTGATAATCACATAGAAACAATGGATTCATTCAGTGTGTGTGTTTCCTACAGATGGATCCAGTAATGGGAACCCACCAGAGAGATGTCCCCGTCCTCTGTATTCCTGGGATTCCACACAAGAAGGTCACACCATCCCTAACATTCATCAGGTAGATGGATCCAGTAATGGGAACCCACCAGAGAGATGTCCCCGTCTTCAGTATTCCCAGGATTCCACACAGGAAGGTCACACCATCCCCCACCATCATCAGGTAGATGGATCCAGTAACTGGAACCCACAAGAAAGATGTCCCCGTCCTCAGTATTCCCGGGATTCCACACAGGAAGGTCACACCATCCCTCACCATCATCAGGTAGATGAATCCAGTAATGGGAAACCACCAGAGAGATATCCCCGTCCTCAGTATTCCCGGGATTCAACACAGGAAGGTCATACCAACCCTCATCATCATCAGGTAGATGGATCCAGTAATGGGAACCCACCAGACAGATGTCCCCATCCTTTGTATTCCCGGGATTCCACACAGGAAGGTCACACCATCCCTCACCATCATCAGATAGATGAATACAGTAATGGGAACCCACAAGAGAGATGTCCCTGTCCTCTGTATTCCCGGGATTCCACACAGGATGATCACACCATCCACATAAGGTTAAAGAAGAGATAAAGGAGGAAGAGGATGAGGTTGATGTGATGGAGGAGTTTTTAGAAGAACACAGAGAATCCTTCAAGGAGGTCATAATGGAGCCATTCAGTGACACAAACCCACCAGAGAGATGTCCCCATCCTTTGTATTCCCAGGATTCCACACAGGAAGATCATGAGATCCCTCACCATAATCAGGTATAAGGAAACAAGACTATAGAGTACAAAAATAACTCAAAAGTGGATGATAATATTTTTTCTATGAAATCTCAGCTGTTTAATAATATACTATCATTTTATAGGTTGAGGCTGAAGAACAGATTGAAGAGAAATCTGATTTTAAAAAGAAAGTAGAGAAACACGTGAGGGCTGATCAGACATCTACCGAAGAGGATAGAATGGAGGTGATAATAAAAGAGGAGGAAACTTCTCAACATATCAACACAGGTAATAAACCCCAAAAGAAAAGACGATTCACATTTTCATTTTCCTTCTACAAGGCATGCAGGCCAATTAAATGTGTTGGAGACTCAGTACAGCTTCTCCTTGTCCGTTAAGATGAGACTCCATAGTGAGATGAAGGTAGGTCCATCTCATGACAGTGTGATGTGGTGGACACCATTGCCTCACGTGCCATGCTTGGTTTTGAAGGTAGGTCCAACTCATGACAATGTGATGCGGTGTGTGGACACCATTGCCTCGTGTGCCATGCTTGATTTTGAAGGTAGGTCCTTCTCATGACAGTGTGATGTGGTGGACACCATTGCTTCGCATGCCATGCTTGGTTTTGAAGGTAGGTCCTTCTCATGACATTGTGATGTGGTGTTTGTACACCATTGCCTCACGTGCAATGCTTGGTTTTGAAGGTAGGTCCATCTCATGACAGTGTGATGTGGTGGACACCATTGCCTCACGTTGCATGCTTGGTTTTGTTGCACTGTACACTTTGTCTGTTGTGTATTCTAAAGAGCTCTCTGAAACTGTTGGCTATTAGACCAGCTACTACACCACCATACATAGTCCTTGACTGCACAACACGAAAAAAAAAAATGTACCAGCTGTAGTGTGCAACATTCTATATATCAGTTTTGAAAAAGTGATGTGATAGAAGTGTATAGCTGTCTGATATGGCAATGATGTTTTTCCGGTTATCGATGGGCCATCTGCTGTCACTACCCTTAAGACCAGAGAAGCAGGTTTACCTGGTACAGTGGTCTCCAAACTGCGGCCCTGGGGCTGGATGTGGACCTTTGCTAGCCTTTGTCCAGCCCTTGAGGCATTATTTCTGCCACTGACACCAATGATGGGGTCTAATTCCTTCCACTGACAACAATGATAGGGCCTAATTCCTTCCACTGACAAAAACAATAGGGCCTAATTCCTTCCACTGACAACAACGATGGGGCATAATTCCTTCCACCGACACCAACAGTGGGGCACTATTCTTCCTACGGGCTCCAACTATTTCTCCCCCTAATACCAAAGATCTGGTATTGTTTACTACCAATGGGCACAGCCGGCCCCCCCTAAAGTTTGAGGGACAGTAAACAGGCCTTTTCGTTTACAAAGTTTGGAGACTCCTGACCTAGTAGGATGTTTATGGTAGAGGGTCATGAAAGATTCCATCTCCTGGGTAAGACTTCCTGGGGAGATACCCACATTACAGCAGAAGACATGCTACAGTGGTGATGCTTGCTGTCCATTGCCAAGGGAAGGCACATTGTGACCTAATGGTGACCTGGCTCAAGTAACTTGCCCACAGAATGAGGACAGCATCTGCTGAAGGATGTCAGCAAGCATGGCAGAAATGAGGATAGGATGAAGGACACCTAAGGGGGTTGTGAGGACACCAGAGTGAGGGGTGGGGATGTAGGAGTGCCTTAGTATGAGTGGGGTCTTGTGAATTATAAAAAACTGAGCAGATTAGCTTAATTAAAAAACATTTTTTTTTTTCCAACAGATGGACGTAATTCCCAGATGACCTCGGAGGGACTTCTTTTTTTGTCTCCGGAGCATGATACAGAAGATAACAGTAATGCCCACTGTTCTCCTTGGGCAATCCACTGTGTTCAAGACAAACCCCATGGTGTGGCTAGATCAATAGATTTTTCTAATCCTGAGGAACCTTCTGACAGTTCACAAACTATTCTTGCAATTATGCCTCAAAGATCTTACCATACAGAAGGATCGCTAGGTCTATTTGGTCTTGAGGAACCCCCTTGTGATACATCACAAACATTTACCTCAATGATGACTTCAAGATTTCACGTTACACAGAAACCTCTAGGTCCATCTGGTCTTGAGGAACACTCTTGTGATACATCACAACTGGTTGCCTCAATGATGTCTTCAAGATCTCACGTTACACAGAAACCCCTGGGTCCATCTGGTCTTCAGGAACCCTCTTGTGATACATCACAACTGGGTGCCTCTATGATGTCTTCAAGATCTCACGTTACACAGAGACCCTTAATTCCATTTGGTCCTGAGGAACCCTCTTGTGATACACCACAACTGGTTGCCTCAATGATGCCCTCAAGATCTCACGTTACACGGAAACCCCTGGGTCCATCTGGTCTTGAGGAACCCTCTTGTGATACATCACAACTGGGTTCCTCAATGATGTCTTCAAGATCTCACATTACACAGAGACCCTTAATTCCATTTGGTCCTGAGGAACCCTCTTGTGATACATCACAAACATTTACAGCAATGATGACTTCAAGATCTCACGTTACACAGAGACCCTTAATTCCATTTGGTCCTGAGGAACCCTCTTGTGATACATCACAAATGTTTACCTCAATTATGCACGTTACACAGAGACCCCTAGGTTCATCTGATCCTGAGGAACCCTCTTGTGATACATCACAAATGGTTGCCTCAATGATGACTTCAAGATCTCATGGTACACAGAGACCCCTAGGTCCATTTGGTCCTGAGGAACCCTTTTGTGATGCATCACAAACATTTACCTCAATTGTGTCTTCAAAATCCCACGTTACACAGAGACCGTTAGGTCCATTTGGTCCTGAGGAACCCTCTTGTGACACATCACAAATGTTTACCTCAATGATGTCTTCAGGATCTCACGTTACACAGAGACCCTTAATTCCATTTGGTCCTGAGGAACCCTCTTGTGATACATCACAACTGTTTACCTCAATTATGACTTCAAGATCTCATGGCGCACAGAGAGTCCTAGGTCCATCTGATTCTGAGGAACCCTCTTCTGATAAGTCTTGCACTGTTAGACATGGAGGTGAGAAGATATTTCCATGTTCAGAATGTAATAAGTGTTTTAGAAAGAACGAAGACCCTCTTTTGCATCAGTGTGCGCACTCCGATGAGTGTCCTTTTTCATGCCTGGACTGCAAGAAATGTGTCAAGTGGAAGTCAGACCTCATTAGGCACCAAACGTTTCATTCCAGGGACCTGGGCTTTTCATGTACAGAGTGCGGGATATCATTCAAACACGGTCCGGATCTGGTCAAACATTTCAGGAGCCACGCGAAGGAGAGGCCCTTCCTGTGCTTGGAATGCGGTAAGTGTTTTAAACAGAACACCCATCTGCAGAGGCATATCAAGGTCCACACGGGTGAGACTCCATTCTCGTGCTCAGAGTGCGGTAAAGGTTTTCCGGTGAAAGGGGCGCTCGTCTCGCACCAGTGGATGCACACCGGTGAAAAGTTATTTATGTGTAAGGAGTGCGGGAAAGGCTTCACGCGGAAAGACAAGTATATCTTACACCAGATGACCCACACGGGTGAAATGCCATATCTCTGTGCACAGTGCGGGAAAGGCTTCACCGAGAAAAATAAACTAAATAGACACCTTCTGACGCATACAGGCGAGCGTCCGTTTTCCTGTACAGAGTGCGGCAAGAGGTTCGCGCAGAGGTTCGGTCTTGACCGACACCGCAGAGTTCACATGGACGTCAGCTCATTTTAAGGTTTAGAGTTCGGTCAGAGGTTCAGGATCAGGACTTTATAGACTTAGAAGAATTAGTGTGTGAGGAGGTCCTTCAGTGATCTGGAGGCTCAAGATGGTCCTTCAGTGATCTGGAGGCTCAAGATGACTCAAAACAAATCAAGAACTGGTTATATATCTGAGAGATCATGCCAACGAAGAGTGCTGTTTGAATTTTGAATGCGAAGGACGGTTTGTCACAAAAGAAATCCAACAGACAAGAGTCCAACTTGACATCAGAGAAGGACTCCTTATGCTCATATGGTTGTCCCTGGACACCATTGATTCGGCCTTCAACCTTTGATAGTACATCCAACATTGAAAATTCAGCTACGGATGGACTCTGAGGGACTGAGTCCTCCACTGGCATCTCACCTTGGAGCCTCCAGTGGAGAGGGTGTCTCCCTCCACCGAAGTTTTTTTTCCTGTATTTTAGCTCTTTTTTCCACCAACCTTGGAGTGTTTCCACATTTTCAACCCACTATGGGGTGCCCCCATTGTTCTCTTACCCACTTGAGGGTGCTCCCATGTTTTTTTGCGTCCACCTTGGAGTGCTTCTATACTTTCCAACCCCCCTGGAGTGCACCACGTTTTTCAAAACACTTTAAAGTGTTCCCACGTTATTTCCAACCACACACATTTTTTCTGACCTTAGAAAGGTCTTCGAGAGCTCAGGAGAAAAGGTTCCACCACAAGAGATATAAAATAATCACTATGTTGACTATTTCCCACCGAAGTTTCTTGTCTTGTTACTTCCCATCTTTTAGCTCTGATTTTTTTCTTTACTAATCTTGGATCCCGCGTTTTTTCAACCCACTTGTGAGGGGCCTCCACTTTTCTGTCACCCTAGGGATGGTTCCCACATTTTTCTGCCCTCCTTCAGGTGCTCCTATGGTTCTCCAAGCCACCTAGGACGATGTTTTTCAAACCACCATAAGGTGCTCCCATGTTTTTTTTTCTACCTACCTTGGAGTGCTTTTATGTTTTTCCAAGCCATCCAGGACGAACTCATGTTTTGCCATCCACCTTAAGGTGCTCCAACTTTTTTTCATTTCTCTTGGAGTTCCTCATAACTGTTTTCACCGAT